ATAAGGGGGGAGAGAGAAAGAAAGAGAGAGAGAGAGAGAGAGAGAGAGAGAGAGAGAGAGAGAGCCAGAGATAATAATAAAAATACAGACACGTGATTTTTTAAGGTTTGACGGTAGTTCCAAAAAATATATATACCACATCCAGATTCACTGAGCACGATTAAATAATACCGAGGGGTAAACATTGTCGGATATAAAGGCGTGAGAAAATTGCCTCGGCGTACGCCGACTGGCACGGATACAGACATTAAGCCATCAGCGTGTATAGTCCCCGATACTAAAGTTCTGTCGCACGGGAATATACGATACAGTCCCATAGAAAACAAATTGAACTTCAATTGAGCCTACCACTGAAGTTTCTATAATTGCGTGCCACTGGCATAGACGAAATAACAAAGACTCTCAGTGGATGCCTTTTCCTATTCCCGTACAAGGTAAACAACAAAGAATAGGACTGATAGTAACGTTAGGCCATAGACTAAATAGCATCGCAAGATGGAATACTATTATCGTGCCGTTATGAGGAGTAGGCCCAAGTTCATGATCTGCTACGTAAGTTTCGAGAGTGAAAACGGTTGAGTGTCTCTTTTTCTTTCTTGTCTCAACCTTTCCTTCCGTCCGATACTCTCTCCGTACTCTCATGATCATTCATCTCTCTTGTGTCGATTATCATTCTGTGGCTCTCCCCCCTCCCTCTCTCTTTCACTTTCTCTCTCTCACCCTCCCCTGTAACTCTCTCTCTTTCTCTATCTGTCTCTTTCTCTGGCTGTAAAATAACCCATGCCGAGTACTGAAACCCGTGAACTACTAAATGAGGATCTAAAGTATCGTCCACACGTCCTGCCAATTCCGAGCGGATACATATTGACAGCCAGTGTATAAGCGTCGTTCACCATAAGGTAAGTGAATCTATCAACAGATGGGTATGGAGACAGTTAATTATTTTGAAATGGACGACAGGCCATCGTTATACTGGCTGAAATTATTCGCGATCCGGTATGACCATTAGGGCACGTGGTAGTTTTAAGCAATCTAGAATTTATTAAATAGTCTGTCGTATATACAAGTGTGGGTCGTATCGACGCTTTTTAATAGCCAGTTTAATATTTATGCTCCGTACACTTGTCTACCAATCGCGCATGGCGTATCTCTAGTGACTTTAACGTTGGCCCACGCGCACCCTACACAACCTGTTTAAGGTTAGGTAATGGCTTCTCTCTCTGTGGGAACACTCGTGACTCACTTTGTCACTTTGTCACATATCGCTTTGTCACTTTGTGTCACGAGCACGTACCACTTTAGTAGTACGCTACTATTAACGCACTATAGCATAACGCTACCGTTACTACTATTGCTTACTACTACTATGGATTCTTAAGCTGTTCTACCTTGAAGACTATGTGCCGGGATATAAAATCATTTAACGGCCGAGTCGGAGGTTAACTTTTTTTTTGGCTCTAATCGTCAAGGTGGTTACATGGGAATAACGTTGGGAGAATGGTCTCTGCTTTGTATAGGTTTAGGCAAGATGGCGTCGGGATTTGTCACCTGGAGTTTTAAAAGTTGTTCAATTTTAATGTTAGACATTTTTAAGGTCTGGAAATGGGTATCATATGTTGAGACTGGTTGAACGAATGAATATTTCCGTTGTGGGTTTCTTTACGGATGAGATTCGCTATTTTTTTTTTTGTTGATTGTAATTATGCTTCTTTGTTACCGGGATGTGTTTCGTTTATCTATTTGTACTTGGGACGTTTTTACGGTCTTTTATGACTCTTGGGAACTTTTTTTTTTCTTTTCTTCGTCCGATCGGTCGCGTCATGCGGATAAATTGAATGGGAGAGTGAAAATAGAATTTTTTTGTTTATTGGATTTGTGGAATCAGAGAGATAGGTCCGGAAATAGAAAGTGAGAGGCCAGTCACTCCGAATAAATGATAAACCGTAATTTCAGGTCTAATAATACGGAAGGAATCGATGATGCGTTAAAAAATGGAATAACAATCGAGGATACTGAGCTCGTTAAATTCCCTAATGATCGTTTTTGTCAAAAAATCGATTTTTCTCACCATCTGTCATCATTATCTGATCTTGCTCTAATCAACACAGACTCCAAGGATGATTTCACGAGTCACGTATTTAGGTTTCTGGGTGCATTTCACGTGAACGTGCTCACGTTTACACAGCTATCGTGTATCGTTGATTTTTTCAAAAAATTAGTAAATTCCAAAAAAAATTAGCGTAACGTAATTGCATTACCCAGAAACACCTCATTTAAATATTTCAAATGACTCTTTTTTTTTCCACCTCATATTCAAAGAAAGTCACAGCAGTATTATCGCAATAGACAACTATCCTGAATAGCGCAAAGAACAGAATAAAAAAAATGAACGTAAAAAAATGCCGCCATTTATTCAGAACGCAACCGGAAGTATCGCCCGAGCGATTTCGCACATAGAAACGCCATCACAATTTTATTTTAAAACGCAGTATGAAACCCGTGACGAAAATGTAGGTCGCCGTAAATTTTTCCGTAATTCTGTAATTTTTCCAATGACGCTAAGATCGCTCCTATTTCTTTCTCTCTCTTCTGATTCCATACTAACCCAGCAATTCTCTCAATAACACACCTACTTCTAATTACAAATATCGCAAAAAAACTATGACATCAATCATCAATGGAAACGTATCCTTCGGCCTTTCGAAATACACGTGAACTGTCAATAACAATCAACTGATTTATATTGTCTCATAGAAAATTCATAATGCCGCATATTCACACGTAACCTTATGCCTGGCGTCGCCGGTGTCAATATAAAATAGAAACAATATAAAACTGGAAAACGTGTGAATCATATACGGGATTTCTAATACACAAAACGGCGCCAAGAAACGTAGACTTGGTTAAATATTGAAAACCCATATGGACTATGCAATACCGCAAAAACAAATATAAGGATAGCATAGACTCAACGTGAAATAAACGTTTCGGTTGAAGCGTCGCGACGGTGGGAGAAAAAAAAGAGATAAACAAGATAAAAGAAGGAACGTAAAACGTAACGCAGCGTAACCCGTGGCTCGTGGAATGTTCGAAGCGTTTCAGTGCGAAAAGTGCGAATCACGCTTCCCGGAAGTGAGAATCGATGATCCTTCATCGTCATCATTTCCGTATTCCCGGATGCTACTTTACTGCCTTTTTTTCCATAAAATCAATGCGTCCTATGTATATATGTATTTCCCAAAAATTCTGATACGAGCAAAAACCGGATGTTATCATCGTTCAACATTGCAGCGTCACTCTACGGCTCGGTACAGACTTTCAGAGTCATAACTACGAGCAGAGATAAAGTTTTTCTTGACAGGTATGTACTTAAGTACAGTTTGGTACAGTATAGTAAATATAACTACAGTAAAATATATACCTTTACGGAAGGTCGTACTTGTCGGAATAGGGAAAGTAAAACGTGAAAGTATCTATGAGCCCCTCTTTGAAAAGTATCATAGAACGCAATTAAAAAAAAATTACACACAGCAAGTATTAATAGTTGATATGAAAACGACCGTAATCTATTTTTTTTTCAAAATATCCCATTTCCAAGTTCAGTCTTATAGGCTTGGCCCATTCTCTGTACCGTGTTCTTGAACTTAAAGGGGATTTCCAATGATCGCGAAAGGGCCTAATGGCGTCGTACGATCATAAGAATATGTTGGAAGTGTATCAGAGATGACGGATTGATCGGTAGATTTGCGTCATACGGGGAAAAGTAGTTAATTGGAGCACGGGTTTCTCAGTCGAAGACAGAGAGGAAGGAGTAAGCGGGTAGAGCTGTAGTGGGAGATTCTTGTCATTCGCCTTGGGCAGAGTCTCAGCGAGTAGGGAGGCGTGTGCCGCTGAAAGGGATAAAAAGAATAAATGAGTAAAGAAAAAGGAAGGTGAAAAAAATGAATCATAAAAAGAAATAAGAAAAACAAAAATTATTAATTGAAAATAGTTTACCTTCGCTGACCATAAGACTCTACTCAGGTCCTAGGTAACCTGGGTGAAAAATGATTAAAATCAAAATTCCACTTTTTTTCATCCCACTCCTTTTTTTCTCCACTTCTCGCAACTTCGTCCTCGCGTCTCTCAGTGGCTGAGCGTGTAAAACGACGTAACACGTACTTCTGATAGTTACTCGCGCAACCGTCCTCGCCGGTTGATGCAACCCAGAAGCAAGTTTGCACTCGGTTGAATTCCAGCGAGAGGCGTCGTTAGCTCTCTCCAGCTTCCATAACCTCCAACAGCCGTCACCAGCGCGCAAGTACCACTGTGTTTCTGCACGATGCTGGTAGATTCGCCGGAAGAAGCATCGACGACCTCAGGGAAGCCTAGGAGAGTGCAGAAAGTAAAAGTATACGAGAAATTCACAAGTGAAACTTCGGTGGACCGTACCCCCGTATTTTCGAACGTCACAAAATCGTACGTTCCACCCGATGTAATATTTATTTTAAAAAAAGTTCTACTTACTACCGGTCCTGGAAGTTCCGGGAGTCACTGGGACTCCCCCTCATTGATGATGACGAAGATGACGATTCCCCTCCGTAACCCATCTGTATCCTCTTCAAGGAAGAGGTATAACCAAGAGCCAGAAGAGAAGCTCGCGCTGAAGAACTCGAAGGAGGATGATAAAGAAAAGAAGAAGAGAAGGAGGAAGAGCAAAAAAAGGAAAAAGAGAGTGACGATCGGGAATAACATGCGGGGGGTCTCGCTCCGATAGGGTGAGTGGGGGGCCTGGCAAGAGCGCGGGATCCGATTGGTTCGCGCCTCGGCCATATTATAAGCGGCTGCGGTCCGCGCTAGTTAATGTTAGCCCGAACCTTCACAAGAGACGCATCTCTTCGATCGTGTTCGTTCGATCGGCAAGTTAACACGGTGTGGTTATAAAGATTTTTGTATTAATATATATATAGATATTCATATACAGCCCGTCCGTAAAAATAATTTTAAAAAAGTAATTGACAGAAGTTTATATATAAAAAAAAAAAACACACTATACAGTACTCCAGGGATAAGGATAGTGTCCGATATCAAATATCACATAGAGTCAAGAGACGCGTGTGGTACAGCTGGAAGTCCTATTGACGTTTGGGTACCTGAAGGATTAATTTTTGATTTCGTCAGTGACGGAGGACAGTGGAAATAAATTTATTTTTTTTATCGTTTCCCACGTCACTCTTTCTCCGTCGGTATCGACTGGTTCGATTCCGGGCTGGTTTGTGTCTAAAAAAAAAACAAATTCGCAATTGTGCCTGAACTAGCTCGAAAACCCTATAACGACAAGACTTGAGAGAGAAAAAAAGTCTCACGCACTTGGAATACATTCCGGAATACATTGACAAGTACTACCTGAGGAAAGTGAATATAACGAGAGGGAGAAAGGGCCCGCTGACAAAGTCCGAAGATACGACGACGAGGACATCGGAAACCGAAGACCCAGTTCTAGTTCGGGACCTCAGCGGTGACGTCCGGTGAGAAATTCAAGAAGCGAACGGAGACACCGATTGACGTAAAGGCCAACAATACGTAACAAGGGCACGGGTGGCACGACTTCGTATACTAAGAATAAGGAAAGTCTGGAGAAAGGATTCGGCAACGGGAGATTTAAAAATAGATACATCCAGCATCTTCCACGAAGTAGTAAGTCCAATCTTAAAGAAGTTCCTTAAAATTTAATAATTTTCAAAATTGGCGCTATCGAAAAAATTACTTATTGGCGCCACGCGCGCCCCCC